CATCAGAATCCGGTGTGAATTCCCTGCCGTTTTTAATGCGATTATCACTTAACTTTTACCAGACTTTTCACAGTGTACATGCCGGTCCTGCTCGACAAGCGTTTGTTACATCCGCATCCAGCCCCGTCATACCCGATATTGTCGCCCGCGACTGGCCGGATATATCTTTTCAATTACATTAAATATACCGCACTGTAGAATTCTTCTAAAATTAAAGCTGAATATCGCAATACTCGAACCATCATAGTCCGTAAATTCCTTAATCTGATTTATACTATTATCTGGCCTCAATATGACATTGGATTCCTAACTTAGACTTTATATACCTCGTAATATTAATCCGATTGTCGATAATACACGCAGTTAACAGACCCCAGTTATCTCACAGACGGATAACACCAAATAAATCCACAGATTATTTCTATTCAGGTTACCTTGTTCCCGATAATGCAATACTCCGGTTTACAACCCAGCAAATCTGCTCAGACACTAACCCGTACGTAGACTCATCCTACCGAGCAAAAGCAGCCGCAAACGTGAGTCATATCGAGTCACACAGGCAGCCAAGGGTCGGCCTTATGAGTTAACGGAAACCGAGGGCACCCAATACTGGAATTTTTATTATACTTTCTCTATATCATTATTCTAAAAGAAACAAAAATCGGCAGATTTCGACCCCGACATTCTTGGGAAGGTCAGATCAATTACCGGTGACCCAAGCAATGGAAGACGCGGTTTGCGAGATTGTATTTACCTTATAGCTGAATCTAATCTCGTTGGTATGATGAAACCGCGAAGACTGACAACCATTTTATCATTGCGTCATCTTGCCTGTCACATTGTCTTAATGTATCTCTGCGATGTGTACGGAATCGCTCATAGCGGAACTACTGCCCAGTGACGGAAAGACGTACGCGCTGGCCGCAGTTTGAGTCTCCGTCAGGTAAAATAACACATACGCGAATTGATTGAATTGAAATAAATTGAATCGCATGCGTAGCGGCGCTCGGGAGTGCGCACACTCTCCTGAGCCGCCTTCATCTGCCATGCCGCACCGTGGAACGCGACTCGACAACTCTCAAGTGCCTCAAACAATGAAGAGAGGTTCCTTCCGCGGTTACTATTATTGTTGCTCGAATAATTTAAATTAGCCCACTCGTCGCCACATGGCTAAAAACGAATATTATCAGCGGGTTTTTATCTCCCTACAATCTCTGTCTGTCTTCTTAGGAATCGTTTAGCGACAATTTGCCGCAGTCAGACGGAAAAGCCAGGCCCGGGCAGCCTCAGGGGCCTCTCACAACGTAACAATAAACCATCACTCGAATATTACATTGAATGCAATTGACCTCGCATGGGTCCGCGCGCTGGGGACGTCGCCGCCACCTCCCAGAAAGCCCGCTCATTGCCCCTGCAGCCGCGTGGAACTCGACCCACCACCAATTCACGCCGCCAACAACAATTGAGCGTTATTGAGAGTCCCCTACTTTCCCTATTACTGAATAATCTAATTAATGTGAACCTGAGAAGAACTGCACGAATTTTTACTTAGCGGGTTTTATCTCCTATCTCTGTTGTATCTTCCTAGACTCGTTTAGCCGAAATCAGACTGAAAAACGCCAGCGCCGCGGCAGCCTGAGTCCCGCACGTAAACATAAAGTACGCACTGAACTACAGCAATCGAAAGCTGGAACGGACTGGCGCCAGTGACGTCACTGGTTCAGCCAGGCCGCGCTCCGTCGCTGCAGCGCCTGGAGCGAGTCGCTCGGGAGCCGCGCAGTCGAGCGACACGGAGTATGAGACCAAGAGCGGCTCGGGCAGCGCGCTCAGAGCGAGGCGTCGTCGGCGCTCAGGCTCGAATCCGCGTTCTCGTCAAGCGCCACGCTCCCAAGGTCGGGAGAGAGAGCACGAAGCGCGGACCGCTTGAAGGCAGTCTGCGCTCCAGCCCTGCAGGGAAGCTGCAGGGCGCAGCTCGCGGAAGGCGCTCGGGCAGCGCGCGCAGCCCGCACTCCGGCACAAGGTCAGTACCTCGCATCCCGTCGGAGGGAACCAGCGGCTCCCTCCGCCAGCTGCAGGCCACGTTATTGGCGCCACGCCGCGCGGGCGGCCCACGCGCCTCGCGTTCGGCCGCCCCTTCCAGGCCGCGACCGCCGCGGCGCGCCTTCGCCAGCCGCCGCCGCGGCGCGTGGCAGAGCATTTCGCTTGATGGCAGGCCCTTTCCCCGTCGCAGCGGATGCGGGTGATGCGCGCAGCGACGCCCCATCCATGTACGCGAAGCGGAGGGCGGCGGGGTCAGCGCCTCCCCGTTACGGGCCCCTTCCCGACGGCGGCGACGCGGGCGCGCCTCTCGCAGCCAGAGCGGTGGCGCGTCAGCATGATGCACTTGGATTGAATGGAGAGCTTCCCCCACCGCCGTGCAGCGGGTGGCGGCCGACGCCCAACTGCCCAGTACCCGCGGACAGCCGGAGGAGGGGACGCCGCCACTCGCCTCAGGCAGACCCCAGCCTTCTAAATCGGGCAGCTTCCATGCGCGCGCGCCCGCCAGCGTCTATCCTCGCTCCCGCGTCCTCTTGTTTCGTCCGTCGCCGGCCGGGTCCGGCGACTAACCTACCGCCTCCGACCCCACCCCTTCAGGCGGGCAGCGGTGGCCGGCCGTGGCTCCGCCGGTTGGTGCGTCGGATGCGTCGGAAGGGCTCTGCTCCTTGAAGGAAGCGCGCCGCGGTCGCGCCGTGGGAAGGCGCCCTTAGTCCATCGATTGATTAGTGAATCCGGGCGCGACTACTGACAAGGTTATTAGTCCTGGTAGGGTAGTGCACGCTTTTATCGCGGGAGGTGGCTGTGATCTCCAGCTGGATGGCGAGGACCGGCGCCGGTCCTACCCCACGGCTTGTGGGAGTTTCCTCAACCAGGTATCTCCCATCAAATTGGCGTCGCCCCAGCTGGGAAGGGTTTTAAGCTCGCGGACTCCCAGCAGTGTAGTGCATGTAAGTGTGTATAGTAAATGGCGAAGATAAGACAAGGAATAGGACGGAAAGATCGAGTTGTCCGCGAACCCTTTGTTAGGGTATTTCTCGGGCATTCACCTACTGTTGATCGGAGAATCCATGGGAAAAGCCCGATCATAGCATTTGGTCGTTAATATTCTCATTCAGATACTGGCTGAATTCGATCTAGCTGTTTAAAACGTGTCGTAAATCCTGAGGCACTGCAGAGACATCAACTGATGCACCGGGAGAGATGGCTCAGGGCATCAACTGAGTCCCTCCGACCGCGAGGTCCTTGGGACGGTGGCAGGTTTTTCGACACTAGCTTATCAGCTATATCGAATTCAGTCGCTGTCTGGAGGAGAATTCTAGCGGCCGGTCCTCTAATCGGTAGTTTTCCGTTCTTTCTCCGATCAACACCAGGCGAATACCCGAGTAGTACCTTAACAAACGAGCCACCGACCGCGAGCGATCTTTCTTACCTCTTTCTTGGCCAATCCTCACCGCTTACAATCACTTACATGCACAACACTACCTCGGTGGGTCGGGAGCGGAGAGCTTGTCACGGCTGGGGCGGTGGCCCGCTGGTGGGAGATACCTGGTTGTGGGAAACCGCGCTAGCCGACGGCAGGTCGGCGCCGGATCTCGCCATACATCGGGAGAAGACCACCGTCACCGCCCGAGCAAAAATATCTACTGCACTTACAGGAGTAATGACCTTAGTAGTTTACGCGCCCGGAATCACTAACAATCCATCAACAAATTGATGCCTTGAGCCAACTAAGCCGGTCGTCTCGTAAGTGGAGGGAAAGCTATTGCGGAGGGGCAGTGCCCCCCCCCCGTCCGTTGGATGGTGAGACGCAGCGCCAATCTACGTAAGCCACAGGAACCTCTGCATAGTTAAACGCCGCCGCAGCCGGGACAATCTAATCCGCAGAGTGAGTATGTGTGTGTGTTAGGGGAGAGGGGTACAGTGATGAGGAAGGAAAGATCGCGTGCGGTCCGTGGCTCCTTTGATAGGGTATTGTTCCGGCATTTGCTTGGTATCGATGGTAGAAATCACGGAAAACTACTGTCACAGCGTTATCTATTTGGCTGTCTGAGAGGCCGCGACCCAGGCACAGACGCAAACGTTTCAGCTGTCATACTGCAACCTTCCTCAATGCAAAATACATTTTCGTTGGCATCTGTACCGCCAAGTAGATTCAGACTCCGGCCGCGGAATCCTAGTCCTTTACTATAAGGGCAGCCGGCTGCTAGAATTGTCCTCCAGATAGCGATTGAATTCCACCTAGCTTATTAGCTAGTATCAAAAATCCTCCACCACGTGGATTCGAAATCTATCACTACAGAGGTCACGGTCAGGAGCACTATAGAGGGAGCTCAGCTCTGAGCTAAAAAGGCCGGTCCCGGGTTATCTGCGCACAGCGCTACGGCGGGTCGTCAACACAGAGGGTTCATTGTAGGCACGTAGACCCTGTTATCTCTTTACCAATAAATAACTAATATCTACCTACAGAAGCCACTCTCCATACAAGAATGAAACATGTTCCGCTTAATGGCATGCCAATATGGAGAAACCAATATTTCCGCATAGAAGCAAATGTACAAATTTCTAAATTCACTGTTATTTACTAAGATGAAAGGTGATACTATTACTATATGTCAATTTACATTAGGATAATGTAATTTTTCTACTTCTAATGTGCCTCTTAATGTTTTCCGAATACATTTACATACATAAGCAAAGCAAGACGGGTCTTGCGCTTTCTCCAAATGTTTAGGGCGAAAATAAGCTTCAAACTGCGCATTTTCAGAAACACTCAATAACATTTTCTCAAAAACGGCTCCCAATTTTCCAACGAAACTATGGTACGAGGTTTTCCTATTCTACAATATTCTGTTTCAGTTATATCATTAGAGGACCGTAGAATTGAAAAAATGTGAAAAATGTGGTTTGCGGCCATAGATGACGGCTAGGAAGAGGGTGGGGCAAAATTGAAAACCAAACCTTGACCAAAGAGATTAGAAAACTAACTTCTGTGAGAATATTTTTGCCATTCTGTAGCACTATTAATTTGTATGTGGTTTGGTTTGATGCGCTGCTAGCTTTTGATGTCTGTTAATCTAGAAGTCTAAAAGCTTTTTGTAGAACCGGCAAATTGATGACCTGGTTCTAGTGTTTGGTTTAAGTAGGCAATTAGGAAACGACAAATGATAATACGTATGATGTGGGTTACGTAATGATTTTAACCTTTAAAGTCTGCGTAGAAGGGCTTAGTACAATGATATAACGAAAAAAGGATATTAAAAAGACGAGAGAGAGAAGAAGAGTGAGAAGAGTAAGATGAGAAATAGAAAAAAGAAGAAGAATACGAGGAGGTGTAAGAAGAAGAGAGGGGCATTGTTATGGATGCCAAGGAGAGTGGGAATCACATGGTGGTAACAAGTATATAACGTACTTTGTTATTTCTATGGGTGGACAGGACAGGTCTATAGTACCTTTCGAATTGTGGAAGTTGTACTTACTTGATTGAATAAACTAATGCTATTTGTTAAATCATTTTGGACTTAAGAACAAAAAGGAAATGGAAGTGGATGAAGGAGAGTAACAAGAATAGGAAGAAGAGAAAGTGGAAGAGGAAGTAGAAGAGAATCAGGAATAGGAGGAGGAAGAACAAGAATGAAAGAGGACGTAGGGGAGGAACAAGCATAGGAAGAAGATGAGGAAAAGTAAGTGGAAATGGAAGTGGCAGAGGAAGAGGAAGTGGGAGAGGAAGAGGAAGTGGAAGTGGAAGAGGAAGTGGAAGAGGAAGTGGAAGAGGAAGTGGAAGAGGAAGAGGAAGATGAAGTGGAAGAGGAAGAGGAAGTGGAAGAGGAAGTGGAAGTGGAAGAGGAAGTGGAAGAGGAAGTTGAAGAGGAAGTTGAAGAGGAAGTTGAAGAGGAAGTTGAAGAGGAAGTGGAAGAGGAAGTGGAAGTGGAAGAGGAAGTGGAAGAGGAAGTGGAAGAGGAAGTGGAAGAGGAAGTGGCAGGGGAAGTGGAAGAGGACGAGGACGAGCTAGAGGACGAGGTAGGGGACGAGGAAGAGGAAGTAGGCGAGGAAGAGCAGAGAGAGCTCGCACGCGTACTCACTCTCGAGGCTGACGCCCGTGAGGCGCGTGTTGTGCTGCCACATGTCGGGGTCGAGGGCGCCGAGGCGGTTGCTGCTGAGGTACACGTGCTGCACGACGGTGAGCAGCTCGAAGGCGTCGCGCTGCACGCTGCGCAGCCCCAGGCCGCGCATGTACAGCACGATGAGGCCGCGGTAGCGCGCGCCCAGCCAGCGCGCCGGCAGCCGCCCGTCGCCCAGGTTGGTGCCCAGCCCGCGCCACGCCCACTCGTCGCTCTGCGCACGCGCGCCCCTTCGGCTCAACTACCTGCGCACGACTTCCCTAGTCGCTCGCGCGGTTCCGTTTACATAGGGACTACAGGGAGAAGTTTCAATATTCGTATAAAAGGAACCGCCGTCTAGGACAAACAGATCAATCAGCAGTAGCCGATCACGCCCTGTCGGGACGCGGACATGACAGGCGCTTTGAACCGACGGATGTTCTCTCCACCACCACACACTACTACAAGAGACTTCAACTGAACACCGTCGAGAATTACAAACCCAAAAACAATTTCATCAGAAAAGAAAAAAGGTGAAAAACTAAACAGTACATGGTATCCAGCACTCCGTAACACCAACCAGTACCGCTGACGTGAATCAATCATGCGCGAGCGCCGTTGACGCGACCCGATCAGGCGCGAACGCGCGGACCTCGCCCGTCACTATAAATACGGGTCCCAGAGCCGCGGGAGCATCAGTCAGAACACTTCGCCCCCGCCAGCAACGCCACTGATGATGCCCGTCACAGTTGCAGGCGAAACGTTTGGACCAGTCGCCGTTAGACCACGGCGTACTACCCGGAAACGTTTAATTATATAGAAACCGGCCGTGAAAGCTACAGTGTATGTTATAACTACCCTTGTTGTAAAATACAAACTTTCCTAATCATGTGGGTATGTGCGAGGAGCACCGAGAAAGTTTCCCTTGGTCGACAGAAAAAAGAAGTTGAGTTTAAGGGCGCGCTTTGCCTTGGTGTAACCTAAAATTCGCCTTTCTGTCACAACTAGCCTTGTGAAATGTAATATGTTTCTTAGTTACATTGGTGTGTGCGAGACTCACGGAGAAAGTAAGTTCCCTACGTCCACCACAAACAGAATTTCAACCCAAAGATGTTTTTGCTTTGCCTTCACGCTACGCTCGAGGCAAAATTGCGATACAACTATCTTTGTAAAATGTACAGTATCCTAATTGATTTGGTATAAACGAGGTGCACCACGGCCTTTGCCACCACGGCACCACTTGGCCTTCACGCCACGCGCAGGGCGAAATTCGCCTTTACATCACCCTTGGCGTAAAATATTATTAACTTTCCTTTGTTGTTAACTTTCCTAATTATTTGGGGATGTGCCACTTGCATCGCGAACGCTTCCCTAGGTTGACAACTCAAAGAAAACACAATTTCATGGAAATACTTTATTTTAGTGGATACATGATACACTATTTTTCCAGATATTCACCATTAGAATTGAGAACTTTGTCACACTGTAGGATCAGTTTTTGTATCCCTAAGTCGTATGAGCCTGTCGTGTGGGATAGGTACCAGTGTTTGATAGCCAGTGTGTGCAACTCTGTGCAGTCACTGTGATGGTGACCGGACAGGAACTTCTTGAGGTGTAAGAAAAACTGGAAATCGCTGGGGGCGAGATCCGCAGGCTGGCCTGTGGATGGATAGTCAAACACCTCCCAGCGGAACTGTCGCAAAAGGTCTGTTGTAAACCGAGCCGTGTATGGCCTCAAGAATTTCTGCAGTTCGGATCCTTTGCTTCAGATCTCGTCCTCTGCGATTTCCATTTTTTCTTACACCTCACGAAATTCCTGTCCGATCGACATTACGAAGAGTTGCAGGCGACTTTGAAAACAACAAAGGAATGCAAATGTTGATCTTTCGGTATGTCAAATGTCTCGTTTCTACTGGTAATTTGGTGATAAAATAGTGCGTCATATATGCTACGATTTCCCCCATGAAATTGTTTTTTTTTAAATTGATGACATAGAAAAACTTACCTTCTCAATGCGCCCCTAATAATAGTTTTTGATCTTTTAAATTTAGTGGTATTCTGTTGTTAATTAGATGGCAAAGCTGTGCTCCATGTATTAGACATGCTACAATTTCCCCCTATAACACTCTGTTTTCTTCTTGTTGACAACATAGAGAAACGTACTTTCTCTATGCACCCCCTATAATAGTTTTTGTTCTTCTAACTTTATTGCTCAGTTTCACAAAGAATACACCTTGCCTATTATTCATTTATATTCAAATATTTTTGAAAAGTGTCGCTTAGTATTAATAATAACAATAATAATATACACTTGTTTCTGCAATAAACAATCTACTCTGCAGGTGACATCTGACTGTGGGGGGGATAAAGTCTTATTACTTATCCAAACGACCATAATCTAATTCATAATTCCATGTAAACGCTGACAATTCCACCGTGAATTGAAGGGTATGGGGAATGTAGTACTAACCCACAGGTCAATAATTTTTGTCAGGTAAAAGAGAATAGAGGTAAAAGAAAATTTGAGTACAATGAGACGTGACTTTATATATATATATATATATATATATATATATATATATATATATATATATATATAATACTTCTGACTACTTTCGATACACATACTATAGTTCTACGAACACGTTTGTTCAGCATTTCGATCATAATGTTTGTTTTTACATTCTAAGACCTTTGCTTTGGATTTATGAAATGAGGGTTAGCATTATCTTCTCCCGACCCCGCCAATTTTTAATGCGTGCGGAAAGTTTAGATGAATGACCCTTATCTCGTTCGGAGATTTCCTAGCGTATTCTTGGCGTTCTACAATGCAAATACAGTGAAGACGAAGCAAACTTAATGTTCAAAATACAATGTATAATGTATAATGGGTCAATGGGCCCCCCATCTCGATCAGGTTTGGTTTTAGTTTCTCTGATTCATTGAGCGAATAGTGAGAAGGCCCGTGGTTTTCTTTCTGGACAAGAATATAGCTTCACCATGCACACGTTTAGTTGAGCTCTCCTTTTTATAGTTCGGGTAGAAGTAGAATCGGGGGTGCGGATTGCTATTTTTTTAGCAATACTACAAAACCAAATCTACGTTCGTATACAGATGCAAATTAGTGTTCTGTAACTTAGAAACGAAAATGTTTATTTTTAAACGTTAGTAACCTTATAATTGTCACCACTCTGTCACCATTTTTTGACGCAATTCGCTCGTTAATATGTCCCGTAACAGTTAAGAAATCCAAATTCTGACCATGTTTCTGAGTAACAAATGAATTTTAATGATTAAAATTGTTTTAAGAATTGGTCACCCCGACCTGGATTCGAACCGGGGCTCCTGGTGTACGACCAATTACTCTAACAAATTTAATTGTTACTAACCTTGTTTTGTTGTTACTTTAATTCATTATTGAATTACATTGGCTAATAGCATTTTTGTAACAAAGAATGTGAATGGTGTTCTTTGCTGAGACTTCGAATACGAAATCAGTTTTGCCTATCAGGCTCAGTTTTCTTGTTACATGCTGCTCTCTGTTTTCGGATATGCTTGGAAACGCTGCATATTTGTTATTTGTATGTAGCTTTATTTAACAATTCTGCAGATGTAATTGTTCGGTAGCAATGGAAATGTGTACAAATAATTCCTATAAATGATACTGAATTCATAAAATTGATCTTTAGGAAAATGAAAAGGGTTGGAAACATTGCTGATTCGTATAAGTCATGCTCGAACAGATACAATCGCATCGCCAGTTGCAAGAAACACAATGGTAGAAATCTGAGATCTGACAGCTTGAAAAGCGGCTTGGATGTGACTGCTCGTTGTTCTAGGTTCATAAAGATTTGTGCATTGTATTAATTCAGAAGAAAAAATGCCTCGTTACTACGTAAATGCGTTAGGTTATATCTGTGGAGAATTAATTCTGATACCGCAAAACCCAAACTTTAATTCTCTAAGATGATAGTGTTATGTACTTTATTTCCGTTGCGAGGTAGGAGTCCAGGACAAGAAATGGGCCTCTCGAATGTGCTATGTGCCGTATGTTACTCTGACATGCTGAGTAAAAGGTTCACGACACATGCCCTTTGCGGTTCCCATGATTTGGAGGGAACCAACGGTTCTTACAACATGGTGTTATATCTGTCTGACACAAACTACTGGAGTCACCTCAAAAATGAAGAAAACTTTGCAATAGCAATTGCTTGTTCGTCTCCCACATACGTCATATAGAAATGTTTGACAAAAAAATAAATAAATTAAATAAATAAATAAATAAATAAATAAATAAATAAATAAATAAATAAATAAATAAATAAAATTTCAAAAACAAAAGGCGGCGAGGCGGCGTCTGACCTTGACGTGGCAGGTGGCGCCGCGCAGGCGAAGGTCTATGCGCTTGGCGGCGTCCACGTCGGAGAGGTCGAGCGCCCAGAAGTCGCTCCAGGCGGAGCCGTGCGGGATGTCGGGCGCGTCGGGCCCCGCCCACGCGCGGCACGTCACCTTGTGGCCCTTGCGGTGGCAGCCCGGGGCCACCTCCGTGGGCCGGTCGCCGCGCGCCCCACCTGCGCCGCACAACCCAACATGGCGCCACACGGGGTCCGAATCGACCCCCCGTGATTGGCAAAAATTCCACCGACCAATGATCGGTATAGTCAAGATTAAGATCTCATTTATTACAAAACTTTAATTGAAGTTGATGATTAATTATTTATTAATCAAGTTTCTAACATTCAAAATTAAATTTCATATTTGTTTCTGTTTGGATTTCATATCATTCCTACGAATATTTTAATTAGGATGTGTGATTTTGTTTGGAAAACTTATTTATATTTGTAGAATTAAAAATTATGATAGTACAAAAATAGTAATTCATTAATCTAATTCTTTAATTTTTGTATTTCTTATGTTATCTTGTATAATTGTTAATATTCTTTGTCTATTTATTTTGGAATTTAAAGTCATGTTCGTGGAGTTATTTCTGGTATGAACATGTTGTTCACTGTATATTATACACAAATATTGAAAGGGGTCGATAATGAGTATCGATCTTTCCAAAGCCGTAAATGTAAGCAAAAGGTTGAAAAACTCTGCGGGAAGGTAATCTAAATGGTTAGCATTTGGTTGGAGAGCAAATAAGATGAAAACCAGTAACATTGACTGACGTATTTTAACAGCATTTAGTGATTTTGACGCCTGAAACGGACGTTATAATGTCAGCACATGCAAGCAAAAACTAAATACGTATTACAAGAACAATATTATGTGTCACCTGTTTTGACGATATTTCCACCTTTTCACCACATCGCGTGGTTCACGTCAGCTGGTATCTCTCCACGCTGTTCCTACGAGTATATGCATTCAAGGAGTAGACATTACCCGGCCGACAAAGATTGTCAATAATGCACTGGCAAGTAACACCTCTTGACTACGCGACAGTGGCCAGGTGATGATCTGCTCGTGTCCAAGCGAACGGCGTCTTCTTGTGACCTTTTTCTGTTTCATGCAAATCCCTGCTTTTAAGCGCGCCAGCCCAGTCAGTTCTACGCTCTAGTAACGATGCTGAGAAGTACTGTATTTTAAGTGTAAGAGCTCACTTGGCGGGTTTTTACTGCCTACGATTAGAGGTTCGCGGATTTTGGAGAAAAATAAAAACTATCTTGTATGCGCATTACTTGGATATTCACAAGCTTAGCCTGAATTTGTGTCAAGAAGAGCTTACATTTGTTTATTGTTTGCCAAATATAAATAAAATGCGATTGCAGTGTGGTACTGCCATTGTGGAGAACGAACGAACGATACCGATACTTCACCTGTTATCAGGGTGCAGCCTCCGCATCGGCAGGAGAAAAGGCAAAGACAGATAAAGAATACTGGGAGATTCACCACACCTCTTGACACCAGTTATTGCTCAAACGTTTTTACTAAGCATCGTAAACGCTTCATTTAAATGGAGGAGTTAATTGAACTATGTGTCCAAACTAATATGGCATGCTCTAGGTCGAAAACTAAATAAAATTTCGTTCACAGAAGGCTCGTTGTAATCCTCTGTAAAGTTGTGCAATTAAAACATCGCGAGCCCGTAAATGGTACCATTTATTTAAAAATTCTTTTTAATAAATTCCGTGGTGGTAGGAGGATGAGAAAGTGTTTTCCCGAAAGTTAACTTTGGAAAATAATTATTAAAAATTATGAAACCTTTTGTGGATATTATTTCCTTTACCATATTAAATTCTTTTAAATTATTTTTTATTATTAAAATTAATTAAAGTACTGGATTAAATTATTCTCGCCTCTGCAATAGATCTCATGGTAACATAGATCACAAGGAACCGCACCGAAACTATCAGCAAACGGGGCACGAGTACGATCCACCGATACTGCCGAGAACAAACGAGAACGAGAGGTAACGACAGTTCCCGATTCTTGAAAGGTATCTAGTAGATACCGATTTCACAGGGAAATAAGGTTGCGAAAGCAAGGCAGCGAGAACGATGCACAATAGAATGCGGTTTGATCGGCTTGATGTGAATGTAACGTATGTATTTCGGTGCTGACCAATTCGACGAATGAGAAGTAAATAGACCATTGTATCCCATAAAACATTTTAGGAATATTGATTAAAAATCAGATTTAAAATAAGATCATATTGAAAAAATATTATAAAACTTCCATGCTAAAATTACAGAATAATGGGATATCTATTCTGATTATATTTCAAATTCCATCTCTTTCAGTCTTAAACATGAATGCTAAATATAACTGGAGAAAAGCGTGCACTTGCAGAAGGTATGTTTGTCAGCTGAGGACCGACTCAACAAAATTTCAGATTCCACTTTCATTTGAGGTTACGTATGTGTATGTACGTGTGTGTGTGTGTGTGTGTGTGTGTGTGTGTGTGTGTGTGTGTGCGCGCAATAAGTAAATATGTCGGGAAAAATATTTTCTACAAATTTAATAAAAAAACGAGTATGCTTGCATCTCTGACTGCTTCAGAAACACGTAATAATAATTAAGCGCTTAAATAAATATTTATGACGTGAATAATAAAATGTATAAAGTAAATACGCTCACACAAATGTCCGTTACGCGTGATCGCCTCGCGTGAAATACAAGGTGACCTGTGACTTGTTTCTTTGTAGAGAATGACAGCCACGACTCAATATTCCGATATAGAATTAATCTCGTCAGTAAAGGCGCTGAAGGGGGGCCTACCTTCCAAAGCAATCAGAGCGACTGCCAGGGTGAAGATCGTGCTCTTCCAACCCCTGCCGTCCGTCGCCATCATTCCACCGGTGGATCAACTGCCTCGGATAGGATACACCTGTGCAGCTCCCTGGAACATACGACGCCACGCGCCGGAAGTTGAAAAAATACATTAGCGTCTAAAATACTATTGAATTAGTGGTGATGCAGTAGCCCTTTGTTTCTCGTATCACAAACGGTTTCGCAATATAATATTGCAACTTCTACCCTACTAACTATTTAAACATCACTTAATGAACACTCTTAACCAAAAGAAGCTCGTCAGGTTTGATTGATTGTTGAGTTATTCTGGGCACGTCAACGTCAATGGTCATTATTCCCGTAAATGTAGTGTATGTTTCGATGATCTTCTTCTGTTGCTGCTGCTGCTGCTGGCGGTGGTGGCTGCGATCTTTCCCTCGCTGTATGGCGAGATCCGGCGCTGACCTACCGTCGACTAGCGAGGTTTTCCCCAACCAGGTATCTCCCACCAACGCGGCACCGCACTATATTTTTTCTGCATTGGGGTTTCTTCTAGAACTCCGAAGGGGATCTGCAGAGCTCTGCGTTTGCTATGTTTTAATAATATTAAACTATTAAACTAATTTTGCATTATTGGTGTGATTGACATGAGGAAAATTGCCATGATTTCATATGCTTAACATGAAAACTACTTATATTTTCAAATAATTTAAGTACACGATATTATCATCAAAATGTAGTTTTAAAACGTGATGCAAAACATTTCTATTGGTAAAATTATAAGTTGTTGTTGTTGTTATTATTATTATTATTATTATTATTATTATTATTATTGTCAGTCAATTACAGATATTTGGCTATCTAATTTGTTATTTTAATCATTACTTTCAGTAATACAAGAAGTTTTGAACTTTTACATGTTCCAAAAATTCAGAGATTTTACTGAAAATGGGACCCAAACCATTTTTATGAGCGAACATTTCTCTATATGATCAAGAGATGTAAAAAAAACCATGGAACTACAAGTTTTGAAGATTAGACTTTTGAGAACTGTTGTACTTGTATTTTTTGAGAAAATTTCGTAGGGGCTTCGTGAAATGCATCACAAAAAACTGGAGGGTGGTGGGGCAATTCTGGCTTCAGATTCGGATTCAGCGCGGGGTCAGACACTTTCTTTGGGTCAGACACATTTTTTTTTGAATTTGTGTACCTGTGTTATCAAAGGAATGATCTTCGCAAATTCAGGTATGACCCAAACTATTAGTAGAATTACAGTTTTTCCATAAGATATGTGGGTATAATAATGATTTTACCTCACGACGCAAATGGGGATAACATTTCTTTCGCATGAATCAATCAAATAGCTGAAGGGTTTTTTTCAATAAGGAAGAGACTAAGTATGAAAGGCTTTTATGGGATATTTCCTCCTTTTATTATTGTGAGTTACAGACCACGATATACATGTAGTCTTCTCAGATACCCTCCAGTACATGATCTCCGGATCACCGAGGCTTGAAGGTCGTTTCCAAGACGTCTCCAGGTATCCCCAACGGGTCACCGCGGCATCCGAGGTAATTTCTAAGCTCCCAACTGGTCTCCTGATGTATGTGTCAGTGTAGAGTATGTAAGTCAAAGTGTGTGTAAGGGGAAATTATAGAACAAGGAAGAGGACAGAAACATCGCGCGCGATTCTGGACTGTTTGTTAGGATTCTGCTCCGGTATTTGCATCGTATTGACGGGAGAAACATCGAAAAACAACAGATCAGTGAAGCCGACTTCTATAATTCTCCTCCAGATAATGGCTGAACGTGGACTAGGTATATAGATATATAGGTTGAAAATTCACCGCTCTCGGTATTCGAATCTTGAACCTCTCGGTCAAAGTCGCGGCGAAGCTGAAGTCAAGCGGTCAATCGATCGGAAGTGCGTGCGTGAGACGAGCGGCTGTCGCGTAATTGCTTGGCTGTCCCATTGCTTGGCTGAGGATGACAGAACACTAGACACTTGGATCACTCCAAGTCACTAAAGGCCCACTCACTATGCAAACGTAAGCATAAGCATAACGCATAGACGTAAATATTAACATAAAGTGATTGAATAAAGTATTCACAATGTCTAACATAAATAGAAGAAAAATAAGAGTTTGTATTGGCTGTGAGACATTCTACAGGTTACTATTGGTTGGATGTGAGAATCGATTTCGAGGTATCGACTGTGTCCATGGCCCTTACGGCGTTTGTTCGTCTAGCGACTTCGCTCCTCCTTCGTTTCTCGATTTTGAGTTAAGGTACTGTGATTGGTTCATTTCTTATATCTTACTTAAGCATAAGCACAGAATGTTGAAGCTTCCAAGCTTTTAAGTTATACTTATGCGAACACATTGTGAATGAGTTCGCTAATGGACGTAGTCCTAACTTTTATGTTAACGCCTTGCTTATATTTATGTTTGCATTGTGAATGGGCCTTTATATTTTAAATAATAATAATTATTATAATAATATTTATTGAGTCACATATACAATTACAATCGTGTATGACGAGTCAATATGATGCCTTGGGTGGAGAGAGCGAAGTTATATTACTGTTCAGGAGCAAACAAGAGGCCATCTCAGCATTTGCTCAAAGGACCAGGGAAACTGAACAAAACCTGATCGAGATGGAGAGACGAAATGCCAGAGACGATACAGGTAAACGACATGAGCAGACAACGCAGCCTATTCGGACTACACCCAGTGTTGCCAGATGTGTTTAGAGAGATTCCGCCATGTTCGTTTCAGTTTTCGCCGAAAATCCGCTGAACTGGTTTTAAATTTCAGCCTAAATCCGCTAAACGTAAAATAAATTATTTTTTCATATTTAAATATATTAATTTATTATATTGAAACAAAAACATGATTGCAAAATATAATGGCTTTATTGAACCTGCAATTAAATTTTTAGATAATATAGAATGCATTACTTGGGTGAAAATTTGCAAAATAATAACAATTGATTTCAGGTATTTATAATTTATTATATAAGAATTATATTATTTATTCTTGCTAGAAACATGGATTTAGAAATTTTAAAAAAGTACATCTGTGCAAAACAACTTATTAATAAAGGTTAACGAAAATTGATAACTCATTTTCGTTCGCATCATCACTAGTTTTCTTGAATTCATACTTGTATTTTTGAGTTATCTGTTTTAAACCTTCAGGTGTGAATAGGTAATTATGACATTTAACCGCTCTTTTTGCATCAAAGCGTACTGACAATATCCCGTTTAATTCATGTTCATTTTGTTTTTATGCTATTTTTAACCACATTCACTTGGCTTAAGACCCTCTCTATTTCGGCATTTGAATTTGGTAAAACCAAAAAGCAAAGAGCAAAATATGATAATTGTTTGAAAGGTTTTACTCCAGCAGAGTCGACATAATTATTCACTTCATTCCAAAATGAGACAGTGCTTTCGTTTTCATTCCATCTGCTCAAATGAATGCAATCATATTAAAATTCAACCTTAGTAATTAAATCGAAAATTGAAAAACGGAGTGAGTTTAAGTTTTATTGCACTTAAACAGATTTTGATTGATAACGTAAATATAGTTTTTAACATTTCAATATTATCAGGTAAGCGTTGCTTCAACTGCTTGAAAAATAAACTAATAAAAACTGAATGCAACGATCACGAAAATGTCTCATCCTCGATTGAAAGTTTCCTTTGTTTTTTGAGTTCCTATAACTTTTGCTCCACAACAAAATTCAAGTTTCACTTTTTTGTCTTCGTGGTCGTCTATATCACACTGCAAGGGATTTACATTACATGTAGGTATAAATCTTCCGCGCAATTGAAAGTGTCAAAGTCTTTAAATCTGTCAACAGTTTAGTTGGCTTAACTGTATGAGATTCAAAGATCTTGTTCACTCTCTGACAAAATCGGATTTATTGCCACCAGATAAGCAAGGCTCAACTAATTTTGGTACAGGCTATACAAAGTTTCAGCATTGAAACATTTATCCTTGCTTCGAGCCATACCAAAATGAGTTTTTAACTCTATTCATTGATCCGATACTTGCATAACGGCTAGTTCTATCGAAAGCCACCTTGTGCCAGATATTTGTGGAATTTGTCGCGGTTCTTTTCTATCGTTAATCAGCTGATACAATTTCCGATATGCTGAGTGTCTTAAAGCCGATTTCTAGAATTGTAATTGTAAGTCTGATATTAAATATTCCGAGTGACGTGGCAACGTATCAGACAGCGTGAGACACCGCAAATTGTAATGAGTGACAAATACATCGAATTAAAATTAAGTCCGGGACAATTTCTTTCAATTTCGCATAAACTCCATTGTTAACTCTTACCATTACACTCACATTATCGGTGCCTATACCCCTTAATTGTTTTATGTCTAAACCCATCAACTCTAACGTCTGTTTAACAGCCTCAACGATAGCATTTGCATTGCATTCTTTAGGTTTTGTTTTTAAAAAAGTGGACACTATTTTACCGTGTTTTTAGCTAAAATAAATGATTGACATTCCGAGCAATTTCGTACTGGAAATATCGTTCGATTCATGTAAAAGTAGACCAAACAGCCGATTCCCAATGTCAGCTAACAATTCTTGTTCAAAGTGATGATAAAAACATTTTTTATAACAGCCGCATATTTTGTGCGATGCATTTGAACATTCGATGCAGTTTTACTATCACAAATAACGTCTTTATAAATATTAGTTAAAAGATCACAAGTCACAATCGCAGAATGAGTTGCGACGAACAATGCAGTAGCTGCCTCCATTTTAACGGTATCGATACTTTTTGTCTTCTGCCTTTGCGATGAAAACGGTTCACTTGCAGTGACATGCTTTTTTTGATTTTGCATGATCTACTAGATCACTGTGCTAGGCCCACAAATCGCGTTTGCAAAACCTATTTGGAAAAGAAGAACCATCAACATGATTTGGTAATATTTTAGTTTATTTCAATAAATCGATCATTTTGAAATCATAAAATCAACTATTTATACGCAGAAAAACTATTTGTTAAATTGATAAACAAATTTTGTTAAATAAGTTCTGTCAAATTCTGTATATTTCTTGTTAATTCAACCAAAATATTTTGTTAAACTAACAAAATAAGGTTAAAAAATGTTTTATCGAATTAATCTAATGTTTACATTGGTTCGAGAAAACGGTTACTTTGAATAACCTTTGGTTGTTTTTTTTGTGACAGTAATTTTTTTAATCAATAAAGCATTTATGATAATGGTAAATTTTTATGATTTAACAAAATAGTTTTGATGCTTAAATAAAAATAAAATTATTTTGTTGAACCAACAAAACACTCTTCTATGTGTATTTATGTAAACAAAATATAAAAATTTATGTAAAATATTTTCTGTTAGCCATTGTTTACGGAAGATTTGTTGAAACTTTTGCCCCT